CAGTGCAGTTACTCTTTTTTTTTTTTTTTTAATCCTGGTTTATTTACAAAGTTCAAATACACTGTTTTTCATACTGGATCTTTCCCATTTCCTTCACTACCCCTACCACTCAAATCATTTGACTCTATAATTACCATCGCCCACCTGCCTATCTTCAGTCCTCTGCTTCCACCCTCCCCACTTTGGATCCTCATACTTATTTTACAATAATGGTTTTATACAGTATTTGTCCTTATGGGACTGAGTTCATTCACTCAGCATCATGCTCTCCAGTACCTATCAAGTTAAGTAGTAACTGACAAAATCATTTCTCCTGTGTGCTGCATAGTATTCTATTGTGTGAATGGACCATAATTTGTCAATCTATTTGATTGTGGTTGGATATCTGGGTTGTTTCCATGTTCTTACAATGGTAAATAATGCTTCTATGAATATTGGTATGACTTGAGATGCTTGGTGCAGAAGATCAAAGACTACAGCCTTCAATATGGATTATGGCTGCACATTGGGAAGACAAAAATTTTCACCATTGAGCAGTCGGCCACATCATGATAGATAGAGAAAAGCTTGAAGTTGCCAAGTATTTAATTTTGCTTGGATCCACAATCAACGCCCTTGGAATCAGAAGTCAAGAAATCAAAAGATGTATTGCTTTTCGTAAATCTACTCTCAGAGACCTCTCTGAGATGTTAATGAGCAGTGATGCCAGTTTAAAGACTATGGTGCACCTGATTCAAACCATTGCCATCTCAGTTACTTGTTATACAGTGCCTAAGGATGACAGAAGAAGAATAAATACCTTTGAGTGTGGCATTGCAGAAGCATGCTGAGGATCCCATGGACTGTCAAAAGGATAAACATAAGTCTTGGATAAAGGTCAGGCTGGGTACTCCTCAGAAGCAAGGTTTGGACATGCATTAAGAAGGACTGGTCCTTGGAAAGAAACATGATGCTTGAAAAGATAGAGGGTCAGAGAAAGAGTGGAATATTCCCAACAAGATGGATAGACACAATGACTGTAATAATAGGCTCAAGTATGTCAGAGATGATGAAGATGGCACAGGATAGGACAAGGTGCAGATCTACCATTCATAGGGCCACTATGAGTCATAGCTAACTCAACAGCATCCAACAACAACAATAATACTCTTTTTAAAAGGTGTAGAGAGCATAGGGATGGCTATGCTTGACCTCTGCTTACTACACCAAGAGGATCTGTCCACATCAACAACACTCACAGTACAGAAACAATTCACATAAGAGCAGACATGGTCTCCCTTGCTCCTGCACCTACTTCTAATCTCGACACAAATATTACTGATCTATTTGGTCTGAAATCCATTGCAATGACCACACAGGTCTGACAGAACTATACTCATGGTCATAGGGTTTATTAGGGAATTTAACTAGTTACAATTTAGGTTGGCAACAGGATGCAATTCCTCAATCCAGACAGCTTCTCAAGTGTGTTTGCAGGCCCTTTGGTCGTCAACCTCATGGTTTAGTTCAGTGTAACAAAGTCCTGCCAGTTATGACATCTTCCCTCAATCCTCTAGCAAGCTTATGAGAAGGTCCCTAGCTCTGGTCTGTCTCATGTTAGTCTCTGATTCTCTGCTGAGGCTGTTGCAGTCTAGCATTACAGGGACAGGAATCTCTGGCTGAAATCCCTACTTCTACTTCCTTGCTGGTGGAATGGGGAAAACTGACCCATCCCATAATGATTACTTTAGACACATTCTGTTCCCATTCATGTGGTTGAAGCTGATAGCTTAGCAAAGCCATTTTGAACAATCAACCCTTTTGACCACCTACTCATACTCACTCACTGCCATTGAGTTGGATGCAACTCAGAGCTGACCTTCCAACAGGTTTTCAGAAGCTCTAAATCATTATGAGAGGATGTTGTCCATCTTTCTACCTTGGAGCGGTTGGTGGATTTGAACTGCCTACCCTTTCACTGATAGTGCAACTTCCTCCTAAGTAGGCCACTAAAACTTTCTAGTAGGGGATTAACAGCTTAAAATTAAAGCTGGAAACAGGATACAATTCTGTAGTCAGGACAGGTTCTCAGGCTTCTTTGAAGGCCCTTGGCCTTTAGCTTCACAGAGCCAGTGTTACAAAGCTCTTTAATACTACCTATTATGGCTAATCCTTTACTCCTGCACTAGGAAGCCAAGGCAAAGGCTCCTGGCTCTGTGTGGTAGCAGTTCTAGATCCGCTCTGTCTCACAGTGGTCTCTGATATCCACTGCCATTAGTGCTGCTGGTGCTCCTGTGGTTGCTAATGGTCTGTCTAGATCTTTGTCTAGTCTTACTCCTGTCTTTGACAGGAATCTCTAGCCCATAATGATGCGCTCTGCTGCTTCTTTCTTGATGGTAGTGAGATACACATTTTCTGCCTTTGAGTCTACTCAACTTAATCCTGGTGGGATGACAATACTGACCAATTTCTTTATTAATAGTTCACACAACTTATTTGCATGTTCCTACCCCAAAGGCTCTGTCTACCTTATTCACATTATTAAAATCATCCAACCTAGCTATGTGGTGAAGGTCAATACCTATGACTTTCAAAACTCATTGCTTTCAAGTCAGAACTGACACATAGCTACCTTCAGCGAGTTTTTAGAGCTTTTAAATTGCATAGGAATATAATGTATATCATTCTCCTCTGGAGCCTCTGGTAGATTCAGACTAACAAGAGGTGTGCTCTCCTTGGCTTAGCAGTGCAACTCCTTATGGACTACACAATCAGAGATTCTTCAAAGGCAATGGCCAGGCAAGTCAGATTGAATAATCTGCTGAGGTATACCCTGAGAGGACAGAATAAATACTTAAGACTAAATCTAACTAGGGTTATAAAAGACTATAAAACACTACTACAGGAAACTAAAAGGGACCTACATAACCATGCATTTAACAATCAATGAGCAGAAAGATATTGTGCTCATTGATTGGTCTACTTGCTAAACAACATGCCTCTGAAAACTCTATGAACTTTGATAAATGTCAATAGTTATAGAAAGGCTCCAGGCTTTTTGTTCATAGTTTCATTATGAGTCATACTCGACTTGAAGGCAATCAACAGCAACAACATTGATTGGTAAATTAAATTTTGTGCAAATATCAGTATTATCCAAAGTAATCAATAGGTGTAATGCAATCTTGCTATAAATTCCAACAACATATTTAATGAAGTGGAAAAACTAATCTCAAATTGTATATAGGAAGGAAAGAGGCCCTGAGTAGGTAGACTGTTACTGAATGAATGAAGTAGGACCTATTGCACATTCACAATAGTAAAAAGAGTCTGATTCTGGTACAATAGTAAAAATATAGATCAATGGAATAGAACTGAGAATGCAAAAGTTAATCAATCAAAATTCTAGTAGCTGATGAGAAGGCAAGAAGGGACAGGGAAATTGTAAGGGACTGGGAAAATATAAACAAGAAATCTAGTGTGGAAACAAGAAAAGCGTTGACATATTGCAGGAAATATTGTGGGGCATGTAACAAATGTCAAGCAACAGTTTATGCATGAGTAGTTGATCAGAAACTAATTTAAATTAAGTGTAAATTTTCACCTAGTGCATGATAACTTGGAAATAGTCAGCATTTGTATTATTAGTTTCAGTGTGATTTTTGTTTATTTGGCATTAATTTTTAAAATTAATTTTCTTTTAATGCTAGTTTGAACCAACTAAAGAGCAATTACTGCTATCAAGTATAGAGAGCAGATGTTGTTGTTGTTGTTAGGTGTTATTGAATACGACTTATAGTGATCCTGTGAACAGCAGATCTGAACACTGTCTTATGCCATCCTCACAATCTCTGACATACTTCAGCCCATTGCTGCAGTCATTGTGCCAACCCACTTGGTTGAGCATCTTCCTCTCTGTCACCACTCTGCTGTCTTTCCAAACACAATGTCTCTTTCCAAGAAATAACCTCTCCTAGAAACATGTCCAAAGTATTTGAGACTAAGCTTCATCTGCCTCCAAAGAGCACTTTGGCTGTACCTTCTTTAAGATGTATTATTCTTCTGGTATTCTTTGCTTTCAGCCAGGATCCATCTGGCATAAGCAGTGATATATCGCTGTAACACAGCCTCTTCTAAATCCTGCTTGAACTTCTCAGAGTTCCCTGTCTATATACTGATCTAGCTGTTTTTAAGTGATCTTCAGGAATATTTTGCTTGCATGTGCTAGTAATGATATTGTTCAATAATTTCCACATTTTGTTTGATCCTGTTTTCTGAAATCTTGTCACAATATATTACTGCATGAAACAAACTGTACATTTGCTAGTTTAAAAAATATTTAAAGCCTTATAAAGTTGATGATACAGCTGTACTTGTTCTTAAGGGGTTACTAGAAGTCAGAATCAACTTGATGGCAATGGATTTCATTTGGTTTCAGTTATCTTAATTTGTGGATTTATAAGATTAATGTAAAAATTCTTGCCCTTACCCAACTGCCTTATTCTCTTTTGAGAGCTGAAAGAGATAAACAGATAGATAGTATGCCATTTTAAAATATATTTGGTTCATCACAAGATAGTATGGTTATTGTTTATAGGCCAATGGTTCTACACACCAGAGTAAGTAATAATCCTTGGGAATCCTTTGAAAATGCTGATGACTGTGGCCCATACCAGAGATTCTGAGGGCCTTTAACCTAGTAACCTACAATTTAAGAAATACTTCAAGTACCTTTATTGCAGATCATCCAGAAGCTTCCCTGAGAAGCTTTGGTGAATGCTATAACATATTGGGGAACCCCGTAGCAAGGTATCTGCTCTCAGGGTGCTGTAGGAGTCTCATCACTAAGCATCTGTTTGGGGCTTCATTTTTAGAAGTCTCTCAATTCTGATTTTTCTGTCCATGCTCTATACAGGTGTTCTGTTGAAAGCATGCTGGCCCACCTTATTTGTAGATTATCATGCTTCCACAGATGAATAAACTGATGTGTAAGCAGTATGTTCTTTTTCTTTCTTTTATAGCAACGCAGAATCTTCTGAAAAGAGATTCCGAATGAATAGCTTTGTGTCAGATTTTGGAAGACCTTTGGAGCCGGATAAGTTATTTTCCCGTCATGGCAATGAAGAATCCAGATCCCTCTTTCACTGTTACATCAATGAAGTGGACCACTTGGACAGGCCCAAGGCTGGTCACCAGACCACAGCCCTTGACAACAATAGCCAGTTCCAGGCCCTCCAAAGCAGCGGGAGGTCTGAGGAGGAGCTAAACAGGCTCATGAAGTTTGACATCCCCAACTTTGTGAACACAGACCAGAACTCCTCCTTTGGGGAGGATGATCTTCTGATATCTGACCCACCCATAGTTTTAGAAAATAAGCCAGTTTGCCAAACCTCACACAGAGATCTGAATTGAGCAACCAACTTTGTGAAGACCTTCCTAAAGATGTGGATTCTGTCTTTATATAGCAAGACATTATCCTTTACCAAAATTGTGTGTCTGCATGTGTATGTGTGTGTAAGAGGGAGAGAATAGAGGAGCAAGAACTGATAAAGCAGAGTAAATCGGCAATTCTGCTTTTAAACACATTTGGCATTTTAAAAAGGAAAGCTTCGACACTATTCTATTTTACTTGTTGAAAATGTAGGCAAAATGCAGTGTCAGTGTTCTGGGGCAGTCAACCTGTTGTCTTCTAGCCTGCCACTACATGGTCTGTGCCCTTTAGCAATTTGTTTCCTGTATATGGTCAGCTGTATGATGAGGTGGCTGCAGTATCCCTTGCAGCTCCAGTATTTGATGAAAACAGACTCTACATCCAGACAAGGCTGGGGCATGCATAAAGCAGCATAAGCTAAGGCATTACCTCTTGTATTTTTTAGGGTTCCCAAAGCCCTGTGCTTTCAATCTAACCTTTAACCAAGCCCATTTTTATTATCCCAGAGTCCTTGGGCTATCTATCAGCAGATGTGTCTCACACAGTCCCTGTTTATCCTCACAAAGGCCAGGATTTCTGCTATGTTATGCTAAAACTGCTCTCCTGAAAACTTTAGGTCACTCATGCTCAGACACGGGGTGGGGGGGCAGGCCCACCTCCCTCAGATTAAGTTCCAATCCATAGTATATTGTTTGCATGGCACTCTTGTCTCCAAGAACTGGGGCACTGGTGGCCTAGTGATAAGAAGCAGTGCTGCTAACTCAATGCACACGATCCTAATCCACCAGCTGCTCTGAGGGAGAAAGATGGGAAGTTTCCTGCTATGCGGTATGCTGCCTCTGAAAACCTGCTGGAGGATCAGTTATGGGTTGGTTCTGCTCGATGGTAAACAACCAGAAGAAGAAAAGAGATTAGGAGAAGTGCTGTTGTGTTTGTCTCTGCATTAGTATGCCTGTGTCTGGTCATGCTGCAGTGGCATTGACTAGAGAAAATGTGCCAATTGCCAGGCTATTTACTGTAGACCTGCAGGTGGTGGTAATCTTCATAGTGTATGGGCTTTGAGATGAGATAGTGGGGGAGTTTAAAATATCCCACCAACTGATATTCAAGATAGCCTGGGATTATGTTAATTTCATGAAGAAATCCAGTCTGCTAATCATTGTTGGAGGTAGCTGGACTTTGCACACACCCTCATTTTCATGCATGGCCAGCTGCTAACTTGTGGGTGACATTTTCATTATGAAGTTTTTCAACACGTATCTTGCTTTAACTGTAAAATAAATGTGTTTGATTGCACAGGAATTTTTCTCTGGTCCAATGCTTCAGGGAATTATTTTTCCTATTTCCTTTTAAACCCACCCTAACCCCCAACCTCCACCTTATTTATACTATGTTCAATCCTCTCTGAGTGAGCAGTGTTGATACTAGCACGCAGGGGCTCCCAGTTTGTATAGACTCGCTTTAGAAGTTAACCAACCTAAAATCTTTTCCTAGAAAAATTTCTTCTGAGGAGATATGGTCTTTTACCAACTAAACAGCAGAATAAAATACAGGATATTTCTTAATAATAAAAAAATCTG